TCCGTGGCATACAACCCACCACAATGTGGGAGACTATTCAGAAGATGACCATGAACGGAGTCATCAACAGTGAGAACGCGCATCACTTGAAAGTGCTGGTCAGCATCTCGGCAGAACTGAGGCTGCGGACATACATGAACAACCGTGGGCAGGTGGAGAACATGTCAGCCTTATCGTCCATGTCTGATAATACTGATCTGGGGGAGGAGAAGTTGAGGAAAGTGTTTTACTTCTCGAATACAAAACAGTTGATGAGGTACCATTACACAGCAACACCGTTAAAGGCATTTATTCCACAACTTATTAACGCCCACCCATCGCCGGTGGAAGCGCCTGTTCTGTTTGACAACTCACCAAATTTACAAGCAGATGTACATTTAAGTCTGTGTGAATACAAAAAGGCAAAATCATGCATGGAACCGGTACTACAGGGCGATGTCACTGTACATCCTGACATCGCCAATTCACTCCACTTCTTGGCAAGGGCCTTGACTGACCTCGGTGATCACAGAAAGGCTGTCAGCTATTATGAACAGTCACTACAGATGAGGCGGAAAATCCACGGTGAGGATACTGAACATCCTGACATCGCCAAGGCATTAAACTACGTGGGCCGCGCCTGGGGTAACCTTGGTGATCACAGAAAGGCCGCCAGCTATAAAGAAAAGTCACTACAGATGATGCGGAAAATCTATGGTGGGAACATTGCACACCATGGCATCTCTATGTCGCTTAACAACTTGGGTGCCACCTTTAGTAAACTTCGTAATCACAGAAAGGCCGTCGGCTATTATGAACAGGCACTACAGATGGAGCGGAGTATCCATGTTAAGGACACTGACCATACTGACATCACCATTGCACTTAACAACTTGGGTGGCGCCTGGAGGGACCTTGGTGATTACAGAAAGGCCATCAGCTATTATGAACAGTCACTGCAGATGATGCGGCGTATCTATGGTGAGGACACTGCTCATCCTGACATTTCCAAATTACTTCACAACTTGGGTCTTGCCTGGAGTAGCCTTGGTAACAACAGAAAGGCCGCCAGCTATGATGAACAGGCACTACAGATGATGCGGCGTATCTATGGTGAGGACACTGCACATCCTGACATCGCCAGGGCACTCCATAACTTGGGTATCAAGTTATTCACTGATGATCACAGAAAGGCCATCAGCTGTTTTGAACAGGCACTCAAGATGTGGCGGAGTATCCATGGTGATAATGATGAACATCCGGACGTTGCAATGACGCTGCAGGTTCTGAATTGCTATATAATGGTTCCCTTAGAAATTCCTTAATATATTCATAGAAAGCAAATCACGTGACATCGTTACCATGGAGACACTAAGGTTATAAATCCCGATCCCGATCGATGACACAGCTATATTTTGTGTAAACAAGGATCCCTGATGCATAGACAGTACACTTAACTCACTGAGCTCAAACAGATATCTTCCTGGTACGTTGGAATAACACTCAACATCTCAAAGACAAAATGGATGTTAATGGGATCCACTTTATATGAAGACAAAATCCTCTCCCAACTTGGTAGTCAAAATTGATGACACTGCTCTTGAGAGAGTTACTTCCTATAAGCATCTGGGAGTTTTACTTGACTCGAGCCTAAGCCTAACCATTTAGCAGCCTAAGAAGCGCGGTATGGCAGGGCCGCGGAAGAGGTTTATGAAAGTGTCGTTGTGGGCCTTCGTACAAATGTAATTAGCACCTGTCTCGCTTAGCACCCCTGTATTTTTCTTCGGGTCGATTTCCCCAATCTCGGCTAGTGCAGATGAGACATCAAGGGACGATGCCTTATCTTCCGAAGGGAAGGTAAAGTTACAGACTCTACTCATGGTGCCAACTCAAAAGCAACAAAAGTCACAAAAGAAAAGGACGCCTATCCTTCGCAAAGGGGCGACCACTACAACGCAACAAAAGGCATCAAAAAAGAAACAAGGGGCACCTACTCTTCGCAAAGGGAATCCCGTTACCACCGCACTACTCAGCAAAAAAAGCGGGGGGCGCAGACCGAAATCAGGAATCATAAGCAGATAGATCGCTTAAGCAACCACGGGAATATTTTCTTTCGTCAGTTGAACGAAAATAGTTTTTTGAGATATTTTACAGGCTATTTTTGGGCGATCTTTTCGGAAACCTCGGAAAATGTGCAGTAAAAGCTCCAATGTAATCGAAAATCCTAAGCACAGATAGGTTCATTAACATAATATATGCGCACCCATGACGTATGTTTAATTAGCATAATCGATTCTGTGGTAATGACGTCACCGCCAGGCACACCGATCAGTTCAACCATATTCCGCTAGGTTACGCTTCTGGAATTCCCCAGGGTGCAACGAACCAGAACAGCTGCAATGTGAATAGTACATTGTCCGAAGCAACCTCTGGCAAAACTCCAAAAGAAAGCTAGGGCTTGGGCTAAAAAAACTCTGTAGTGTTGCCCAGAGAATGAGACTGTTTAGAAATAGAAGAAGGTCGTCATAATAATGTACAAAGGGGCACCTACCCTTACAGACGCTGTCCTACTTGTAAAGGTACTGTCGAAAATGAAGAACATTTTATGTTAACATGTCCAACCTACACTGATGAAAAAAAAAACACTTATGAATGCGATCAGCAACAATACAAATGTAACATTACCTAAAACAATCTCAGAAACTTTTACTTTATTTATGTCATGTTCTGATACAATTTCCCTGTACATAGGCCAATATATACATAACGCATTATTTTGAAGAAATCGTATTATATCCGATTCAACCAACTGATGTACATTATCATGTATACTATATCTTATACCACACTGAATCAGCGTAGTACCTATTGTGTATATAGTAGAGGGGATTCATTCCTCAAGCTACCGACATCTTGCACACGCAGTCGTCCCTCAGTGAGACATTTGCATCGTTCCCGTTTAGAACTTTTATTCAGCCTGTCACACTGTATCTATTGTGTAGTTAGTTTTATAAATCTCCTGTACATTATCATAGAAGCCATGTTTCTTGTACGTGTATATGTCATGTTTATAAAATAGTATAGTTTTAGACAAGTAATGATAAGTACAGTGAGAAGGATACCTACCTAAGCATTAAATTATACAGTCTAGAGTTCGTCATTCACTTGAAATCACCAGAGGAACAGTGTAGCAGAATTATCAGCAAGTTGATGTTTGCTATATAACCCCCCCCCCCACAAAAAATAATTAAAAAAGACAACGTCACTCCTGTTCCGCCTCTTCTTGATCTTACACGTGTAACTTTTGCTCCTCATCCACCCTTTTTGATATAGTGTGAACAAAACAATGTGAGAGTATAGACAAAGACAAATCTAATACCCACATGATTTGAGAAGTACAAAATCATGAACGGGAAGCAAATAGAAGAAAAAGAACGTGCCGTCCCCAAGACAGTGCGTGACACGTCAAAATAAATGTTTATTTGCAAAATCATGCCCGAAGGCTAATTGCTTGTACAGTCAAGTATACAGAAACAGGAGACAGGTAACAATCTGTCTGGAAAAACCTCTACTTCTACTACTACTCTAGCTATTAAGGGGTTCGACTTCTTCTTTGAAGGCAGTGGATAATGAATAGTCCCACATTCTGCATAATTAGTGGGTTTTGTGATCTTAGTAGAAATGTAGTCTTTTGGTGATCTTCTAAATGACGAAATGATGGAGAGATTGTTGTAACTGTCTGAAATAATCTGTTTCTTTCGGTCTCATAGTGAGGACACTGGCTAACAAAATGTGTTTCATTTTCCACTGCATTCATTGTACAATATTTACATAATCTCTCGTGCACAGGTAGTTTTCTATAGCGGCCTTTTTCTATCTCTAGTGGATGCGCACTTATTCTAATCTTACACATGGCAGCTCGTTCGTCGAATTCATTGTGGTATAGATATTTTCCATGGAGTATTCGGATTTGACGGTCTTGT